AAAAAAAAAAGGCCGAATATTCGATTTTTTTTTTCCCCACAATCGAATCCTGTGCTATCGAACTTGGGTCAGCCCTAGTATTTATTTTTATTGCTATTATTATTTTGATTTACTATTATTATTATTTTTTTTTTTTTTACTTGTTTACTTGTTACTAATTTATTTCTGGCTGTTCTTTTAAGTTATAATTAAAGTTGAGTTTTGGTGGAGTTTTGAAATCAGTGAATAATCGTGTTAATTAATTGTGATTTCAATATCAATCAAAATAATCGTGATTATTATTTTTGCCATAATCGTCCAGCCCTATTTTTTGGACACAATAAGTATAAAAACCTGATGTGCAGATTTCTATGAAATATTCCAATCCCATTCCTCCTCCTCAGAGGATTAACCCTTGAGATATTACACATCATCTTTCCTTGTGCTTTCATGAAAACCTGCCTGAAAATTAATATTTTTTGGAAATAAATCCAACTTGGCTCGGCTTGGCTCTGCCCGGGATGACCTGTGCCAAATCAGGCCAGGTGTTCATCAGTGCAGCTGTCCTCCATCCAAAACCCCCTGATACCCACACACACACACACACACACACACACACACACACACACACACACACACACTCGCAGCCTTTCAGCCTTTGTGTTGCTGCAGGTGTCTCATTAAAAGAAGGACTCAGTCTGCTGATAATAACGCGTCCTTGTTGTGGTAATCATAATTGTTATTCTTCGGGTTATTATGGTCTGTTGTGTGCAGATCAGTGACAAACAAAGACTCATTGAATTTAATTTGAATTCAGGCTGGAAAAAACAGGGGAAACTGTTAAAGGGCAACGCTGCAAAATTTCCATCAGCACATTCAGACTTCCAGAGAGTTCAGCCTCAGGCGCAGGGTTTACGCTGGGCCGTTAATGTTCCACAGCTCTGACCATGTAGAGAAACTACTGGACATATGTTTTAAATATCCATATAAACGCATTTATATAACAGTAAAACACTTCAAATGACATATTTTGAAATTACGCTCAATAAAGCGGCCTATTGAGCAGAGTCACTGACCTCTAGGCCCGACAGAATCTGCAGATTTTTTTTTAAATGTTTTCATCGTTGATCCAAAATTTGTGCAATGTTTTTTTTTTTGCTGGTAATATGATAGATAATATTGATTTAGGATAAAGAATGCAGGACACATTATTTTGCCAATCTATTAACAGTAAATCTTATTTTTGACATTTCTTCTCACCACATCACTGACTCTGATGTTTATGCTGACTAATGCTGACACATGATCGTCACATGCACAAGGAGGTGGAGGAGACAGTGACAACTTTCTGAGTTTTATAAGCAGCATCTTATAAAATCTGCAGAGTTCTGCGGGCTGTTTAATGGCAGAAACAAAGGAGGAAAAGGACTCAGTGCGCCAAGTGTCACCATAAATCACCAGACCTGCTATCAACCGTTTGGCTCACTGTGGTGGAGTGAAGCTGATCTCCCGTCTGAGACCTGCAGTGTGCTGAGGGTCTTCCTCAGAACTTGATCTGTGATGCCGTCAACTAACGACACCAAGAACACCAAGAGGAAGACCGTGTCTGTGTGGATGTGGCGTACACTCTGTGCTGCTTCAGTGGATTAACAGATCCGTCCATAATCAAAACTCTAAAATCCAGTCTGCATGATGTAAGTTTATGCTTCAGTTGTCTTTGCAACACATCTCTGAGTTCACACATTATCAGGCTATTTAATATGCTGTTAATGAAGTTATTTATTTTTTGGCATATTTCCCACCAGACATTTTGGCCGTTGATATTTTAATCTGCCGGACAATTATGTGACACCAGCCTAAAGCTGTCAGATGCCAGCTGAACCCTGTTCAGGAGGAAGACAATGTTTTATAGAAGCAGCAGCTAACAGCAGTGCTGCAGTCAGAGCTGATGTGTGTTCAGCTGCAGGTCCTCTAACGTCCACTAAAGACGAGTGAGAAAACTCTGAACTTCTTTCTTCAACATTTGAACGCAACTTCAGCTCTCAGTGGACAATTTCACTTCTTCTAATGCGACTCGAAGAGCGAAGACTTTGAACATTACAACACTGTTGAGATATTAGAGTCTGTTCATTTAAATTACATAAACACACAGTACCTCTCCTCCCTCTGGTGAAATTATGGAACAGTTTTAGTGAGGAAGTGAAAACATGTTGGACACTTCAGCCCCGTCTCCACCAAACCCTTTCAGTCCAGCACCTTTGGAACCAGCAGTAAGCCTTCAGACATGGTACCTAGACCCTCGGTATGTTCAGACAGTCCTCTTAAATGTGGGCGGGGTTGTTGTCACTCACTGCTCCGTCCAGCACTCGCTGTATTTCCTCATCAGCGGTGACACAGATGGAAGTCTGCACCTGGTTTATCGTCCACAGAACGAGGCTGCACGCCCACATTTTCACAACAAAATAGAACAGGCTGCAGTGAGAGTCTCTCTCCATGGGATATTTAAAAATAGCAGCTTTGTGCATTTAGTCCTTCTCAGGCAAGCTCAGGAGTTTAGTGTTGCTGTAGCCCACAGGAAGTGAGGATTAGAATATATGACCTTCACATAATCCGCTCCAAATTCATCTATATTTTTAAAGTCATTACTAAAAGTGTGTGTCATATAAAAACTAAAGTGATGGTCAAAGTTGTCACAGTGAAATTTAAGGTGTGCTGATGGATTCACGTCATCAACTCATGCATTGAGTAACATTACAAGTTAACGTTCCACCTTAAAAGTTGCCGGCAGTCGGCCCAGTGAATGAAGTTATTTTTTTCTCTTTCATTTTATAGTTGTAGTTTACTGATGTATGAACAGAGGTTACATAAAACCAGAGTGAGCGTCCTCTACTGACCAATCAGACTGCAGGGTTTCTAGCTCCACCTTTTAGTACCAGATCTGTGTGCTAGGTACCCCAACAGAGGGGGGACCAAACATGGGGACGCTAAGGAACGCTTCTGTTGGGACCATCCACAACTTTCACTGTGGGAACAGAAACAATGCCAAACTGAACTGAACCGTGCTGCTCGGTGAAAACGGGGCTTTAGTGAGTTTAAAAATAACGTACCTAGAGCAGGGTATCCCAGGTAGAAGCGGTCAGCTCCCAGCCAGCCCAGAAACAGAGATAAAGCCACAGCTACTTTGTAAGAATAACCGCTCCTGAGAGGAAAAACACAATTATTATTATCAGAGGGATCAATATTGTCGTTATTGTCAAAATGCTGTTACAATGTTCCACAATGAAGTTATAAATAATGTGATAATTCAACCCTGCAGACAACAGTTTGTGTGTGTGTGTGTGTGTGTGTGTGTGTGTGAGCGTGCGCACTTACACATTCCTGCAGGGGATGGTTTTGTTGAAGCCCACCTCCTCTCCGCTGAACCTGAACTCCGTCCCGTTAGACAACCGACAGCTGATGTTCGGAGCTGGGAGGCACTCCACTGTAAACACACACACACACACACACACACAGGTAGACTATTGAAGCCATCTGACTCTCTGAATGACAGGTATTGATCAGAAGCTGAGTTGTCAGATTTCTATAAATATTTTCATTCATCAGTTCATTTCCTTCACTCAGCTCAAGAGAATGGGACAGATGGACAGACAACCCTAAAACATAATGCCTCTGGGTTCAGCTATTGACGACGCACAGCCATGAAACAATGTCTTCATCATCAACTTTCCAGTAATGAGCTCCGCCATCCGGCAGGACCGAAAATGTTTTTTCAACCACAAACATTTTGATGCGACATCAGCTGGAAATGAAAACCATCACATCTGTCACAAAGACGCCATGTGATGTCTCATCGGGTCATGTGACTCACTCACCCGAGGCCGTCATGTCCCGGCAGTTCTCGGGCTCCTGAGTGGCTTCATCTATCTTTGGATCTCTGCAGAGATACATGAGGAGAGTGAAGGAGTCCCAACCAGACGCTGACTGACTCAACATCAACACAACCAATGCATGACATCACACACAGGGGCTCAGATGGAGACGCAATGCGTGTGCGCACGCGCTGTTTCGTATGCACGCTGTACATACACCTGGCAGTGAACAAAGACGTGACCTCAGAGAAAAACTGTTAGTATAACTGTCAGTTTTAATACTTTAACTACATTTAACTGATTATACTTTCATGCTTTTAATACTTTAACTACATTTAACTGATTATACTTTCATACTTTTAATACTTTAACTACATTTAACTGATTATACTTTCATACTTTTAATACTTTAACTACAATAAACAGATTATACTTTCATACTTTTAATACTTTAACTACAATGAACCGATTATACTTTCATGCTTTTAATACTTTAACTACATTAAACAGATTATACTTTCATACTTTTAATACTTTAACTACATTTAACTGATTATACTTTCATACTTTTAATACTTTAACTACATTTAACTGATTATACTTTCATACTTTTAATACTTTAACTACATTGAACCGATTATACTTTCATACTTTTAATACTTAAACTACATTTTAATGATTATACTTACATATTGAGGGAACATCCTCAGAAAAAAAAACATGTTTGTTAGGTCATTATTTGTTTTCTCTGTTTTTTTATTTTTGCAGTCTACGCAGCGTTTTATAAAATTTCAATCAAAAGTGAATTATCAGTTAAATGTTTAGGCTTCATCTACCTGTTACTGTTAAGTTGTTGTGAATTGAAGTAATTTTTAAAGTCTAATTCAACATGAGCTATTTTGTATATTAGTTCATCATTTTATTAATTTTTGTCCTTGTTTGTTTTAATTGGTGTTTTTCCATTACATCTTCTGCATTGTCCTTATAATGTGATTTCTATTCCTTAAAATGATACACTATACAAACGTGTGTGACTACATCTACAGTACTGATACATTTAGGGAATATTCAGTAGTGGAAAGTAACTAAGTATTTCTACTCAGTACTGTACTTAAGTTAAAATTTAAGCTACTTGTACTTTGTGACTTTTCTTTTCATGCAACTTTTAATTTCTACTCCACAACATTTATCTGACAGTTTCAGGTTCTTAAACACAAAACATCTAATTTAGTTATAAAGTTTACAGAAGTCCATGTGAAACTATCAGGTACATTAATCAATGAGTGAACTGACAGAAAATAAATTTAATTATTTTGAAGGTTTATTTTTCCTGTAAAAACAGTTCATGGTTCCAGATTCATTAACTTTTACTTTGAATCATGTTAATGTACCAGAGTATTTTAACAGTGTGGTACTAGTACCGTTTACTACAGTAAAGTGTCTGAATACTTCCTCCAGTAATAATAATAATAATAATATAATAAGATAATATGTAACCCTGGTGTCGTAGTTATTCTATTAGAATATAACTTTCCTTAAAGGTATTATTCAATGTATTATACAGCATATCTAACTACAACTTCCTGTCTATAAAGCAGGTTATCAATAACTGTGAGCTAAACTGTACAGAATACAACACGGGAATATTAAATAAATGGTCGTTTTATTGTTTCTGTCTGTGACGTTTGAATGTTATCTGACATTTTAACTGTTAAATGTAACTATAGCTAAGCTAGCTGCGGCTAACGCTAGCGACCACCGTCCGGTAGATAATCTCCCGTTAAATCAGAGTCCCGTTAATAAACGGTGATTAAAGGATATTGTCCGAGTCTCAGGTTGTCGCAGCTGTCCACCTCCTCCGCCAGAACGAGCTTTAGATGAGAGTAAACACAGTAAAATAACAGAGTCCAGATCCCGGAGCGTAAACACACCAGCCTTCTCCGAGAGGACGCCATGTTTGACTCTGTCACGTGACACTATGGTGCATTCAGGACTGTGAGAGAAATGGTAATTTAGAGTTCTGTCGCCGTAAATGTTACTTTGAGTGTTTTTTTAACCAACTAAATACGTTGTTGTAGAAGTGTTTAAATGTATTTTAATATCATGCATTAGTTATTGGGTTTATTAGTATTTAATATGGCTAACAAAATGTTGCTGTAAATTTTATTTTCATTTATCTATAGCTTCATATCTGTTGTTATATTGAATCCGTATTTTCTGTACTCAAATTTTATGATGCAATTTCTGGTTCTTTTGCACTGCTTTATTTTATCCAAGAGACTCCGGTTTAGTAAATGTCTTATTGTTGTTTTGTAGAACGGTGTTTGTACTGCAGTATTATCTTTAACATTCCGTGAGTGTCACACTCTACTATTTCTACTTTTACTTAACTGAGATTAGTACCTGTGCTGCAGTATTACACTGTAGTATTTGTCCTGTTTAATAAGTTGTTTGCCGTCTGAAGCTGTGAATAAATGCAGGTTTGTTTCAGGCTGATTTAGTGAAATTGAAATGTTTTCCCAGTGAACACCAACCAGGATTTCAACATTGTTTTCTGGTTGAAAACTGGTTGATATTCGGTCTGAATGTCTCAGACCTCTTTTCAACCAGCTAAAATGTGGTTACAACTTCAACGCGTCAATTACAAACTTGATTAATTACTTTGATAATTTGTTCCGTTTTAAGTCAAAGAGAGACGATACTGATGAGTGTGTAGGGTGTACAAACATGGAGGAGGAGCCAACCAGGATTTAACCACTGCAAACTGTTTTCACATGTTGAACTGAGGCTTCATTTGAAAGCAGGACACAAAGTTCAAAGTGCTGCTGGTCGTCCTGGAATCAGCCCTCCCTCCTCTTCCTGCTCTCACACACAGCCAGCTCCACTCTGTTTCCTCCCCTTCACATCTACACTGTGAAGATGGGTGGAACCAACATGGTGGTGACGTCACAGAGCTGACAGGCTGCATTCACTGCCTGATCACATGATGTTTAGATCAGAGCTCAAACTACTTTCACTTCTCAAAAAGTGAGACTCACACAGTCACTGCCACGAGGTGAAATGGCGCAGCGAGGAGTTGAGCTGGACCGAGAAACCTTATCTTGTTCCATCTGTCTGGATCTACTGAAGGATCCGGGGACTCTTCCCTGTGGACACAGCTACTGCATCAACTGTATTCAAAGCTTCTGGGATGGAGAGGATGAGAAGAGAATCTACAGCTGCCCTCAGTGTAGGCAGAGCTTCACACCGAGGCCTGTCCTGAGGAAAAACACCATGTTAGCAGATTTAGTGGAGAAACTGAAGAAGACTGGACTCCAAGCTGCTCCTGCTGATCACTGCTATGCTGGAGCTGAAGATGTGGCCTGTGATGTCTGCACTGGGAGGAAACTGAAAGCCTTCAAGTCCTGTCTGCAGTGTGTGGCCTCTTACTGTGAGAAACACCTCCAGCCTCATCGTGACTCGGCTCCATTACAGAAACACAAGCTGGTGGAGCCCTCCAAGAAGCTGCAGGAGAACATCTGCTCTCGTCATGATGAGGTGATGAAGATGTTCTGCCGCACTGATCAGCAGTGTATCTGTTATCTCTGCTCTGTGGATGAACATAAAGGCCACGACACAGTGTCAGCTGCAGCAGAAAGGACTGAGAGGCAGAGAGAGCTGGAGGGGAGTCGACAAAACATCCAGCAGAGAATCCAGGACACAGAGAAAGATGTGAAGCTGCTCCAACAGGAGGTGGAGGCTATCAGTCGCTCTGCTGATAAAGCAGTGGAGCACAGTGAGAAGATCTTCACTGAGCTGATCCGTCTCATGGAGAAAAGACGCTCTGATGTGAAGCAGCAGCTCAGATGGCAGCAGGAAACTGAAGTGAGTCGAGTCAAAGAGCTTCAGGAGAAGCTGGAGCAGGAGATCACTGAGCTGAAGAGGAAAGACGCTGAGCTGGAGCAGCTCTCACACACAGAGGATCACAAGCAGTTTCTACACAACTACCCCTCACTGTCAGCACTCAGTGAAGCCACACACTCATCCAGCATCAACATCCGTCCTCGCCGCTACTTTGAGGACGTGACAGCGGCTGTGTCAGGAGTCAGAGATAAACTACAGGACGCTCTGAGGGACACATGGACAAACGTCTCACTGACAGTGACTGAAGTGGATGTTTTACTGCCACAACCAGAGCCCAAGACCAGAGCTGAGTTCTTCAGATATTCACGTCACATCACACTGGATCCAAACACAGCAAACAAATATCTGTTATTATCTGAGGGGAACAGGAAAGTGACACGAATGAGTGAACAACAGTCTTATTCTAAACACCCAGACAGATTCACTGACTGGTGTCAGGTCCTGAGTAGAGAGAGTCTGACTGGACGTTGTTACTGGGAGGTGGAGTGGAGTGGGGGAGGAGGAGTTTCTGTAGCAGTCGCATACAAGAATATCAGCAGAGCAGGGGGTGAATGTGGATTTGGACGAAATTACAAATCTTGGTCATTAGATTGTGTCAATAACAGTTATTACTTTTATCACAACAAAGTCCAAACTCCCGTCTCAGGTCCTCGGTCCTCCAGAGTAGGAGTGTACCTGGATCACAGTGCAGGTATTCTGTCCTTCTACAGCGTCTCTGAAACCATGACTCTCCTCCACAGAGTCCAGACCACATTCACTCAGCCTCTCTATGCTGGACTTTGTCTTTATTATCCTGGAGACACTGCAGAGTTGTGTGAACTGAAATAGTCAGAAGTCATTTAAGGGTTAAACTCTGTCTTTAGTCTCCATGTTTGTTGCTGACAGCTGATTGTTGTGGCGTTTCTTCACTGCACACAGATCAGCTGTCAGTCAAACATTGTGGGCGGGACTTTGACATCTTCTCCTGAGTTGTTGTGTAAATGTTTGAGTTTCTTTAGGTGCACTCTAAAATATGATTCATGGGGTCAGTGGGTAACGCTTCAAATACACAAGTTTGTCAGCAGAAACAAATGAAGTTTGTTTCATTAACGTGTTTTAGTCAGCTGACAACTTATTTTAACAAGTTCAAAAATGGTTTTGACATTTTTGAGTAGGATGGAATTAAAATAAATCAGTAAGAACATCTTAAATAAAATCGTTCGACCACTAAATATCATTGCTATGTTTTTGTATGTTTTTTTGATTAATTTTATTACCCATTTACCCTGTGTCGTTTTCATGTCATATTTCATATGTTTTCTGTCTGTCTTAATATCACATGTTGTAAGTGCAGATTTCTGCTTTATAATAAATGCAAACAAATGATGATTTTAAGTATTTTTATTTTATTTTCAGTTTTGAAGGAAACTTTAATATTCAAGTGACGACTTTAACAATGATTTAATTGAGTCTTTGGGGTCGACAGTTTTATTTAAAACCAAAATGTTTCATACATGTACTAATTCTGAACAATAAAAAAAAAAACATGCACAAGGGGAAAAAAGATGAACACCTCTCCTCAATGTTTGAAAACATTATTTTTACAGACCAAATCACTTGTAGAGAATAATATAAAATTAAAGTTAAAAGAAAAGGTGAAAAAAATATGGGGTATTTATATATTTTTATTTCTTTTAAAAAATGGAAATATATAAGGGACTGTTCTTTACTTGTCAGAGGAGGACGGGGTGTGACTTTTTTATGTTGACCTTCTCTGGAGCTACAAATATTTTTCTTTGAGCCTCCCTGAGTGACTGAGGGAAATGCATGACCCTCCCTCCACATAAACAGGTCCTAACCATTTTTTCTTTATATTTTTACACCAAATTAACATACTGGAGCCAAGGCAACATGCAGACAGCACAGATTAGATTAGTTTAAACTTTATAGTCATTGCACACGTCACAAGTACAGAGCAACGAAATGCAGACTGCATCTAACCAGAAGAGCATAAGCAGTAATTGATAGCACAGGATTGAGAGCTATCACCAGAGCAAAGCTAATTTCTTGAGCAAAATTGAAATCTTACACCCAAATCTCGTCATTATCACACAGATTTTTATAGTTAAAGGAGACTGTAATAAATAAAAGCACAGTATCTAAACTTTACAGACTTATGTCCCTCTCCTCCTGTAGTCATGTGAAAATATGGGAACATGATCTGGGTAAACACAACTTGAACAATAGGACATACAAACTATTTATCAACATCTGTCTGATATGAACTTATACAGATGAAGATTTTGCACCTGGAAGTAGCCATCAGAAGATGGGTACACTGTGGTCATAAAGGGATGGACACGCTCAGCAACAATACTCAGGTAGGCTGTGGTGTTTAAACCATGCTCAGTTGGTACTAAGAAAATCTCCCCCACACCATTACACCACCAGCAGCAGCAGCCTGAAGCGTTGATACAAGGCAGGATGGATCCATGCTTCCATCTGAATGTGGTTTTTCCAATCTTCTATTGTCCAGTTTTGGTGAATTGTAGCCTCAGTTTCCTGTTGTTAGCTGACAGGAGTGGCACCTGGTGTGGTCTTCTGCTGCTGTAGCCCATCTGCTTCAAGGTTGGACAAGGTGTTGTTGCTTCAGAGATGCTCTTCTGCACACCTTGGTTGGAACCAGTGCTTATTTGACTTCCTGTTGCCTTTCTATCATCTTGAACCAGTCTGGCCATTCTCCTCTGACCTCTGGCATCAACAAGGCATTTTGGCTCACTGGAT